CTGACTGGTCTCTCCTTACAGGCCCCTCCAGGAACGATCCCCTTTGCTGCCACTTCCAGAAGGTGGTCCTTCTCGGGCCCCTGATGGCCCCCCAGACCTGCTGCTCGAGTCCCAGTGGCACCATTATTCAGGTGGGAACCTACCTTTCCCTCTCATTGCCTCCTTGTGCTTGGCTCAGCTGGATGACTGACAGGTGACAGAACTGGTCCACCTCAATTCTGGGTACAAGCCTGAGGCTAGGCACTGGTGTGACAAAGCCTGAGGTGTTACAGAGGTGTTACAAAGGCTAGGCACTGGTATTACACTGGTGTTACAAAGGCTAGGCGCTGGTGTTATTGCTACGTCTGTTTCTGCCACAAGGCCATAAGCCCCCACAAGGGGCCTTGTGGCAGAAACAGACGTAGCAATAACATTTTAGCTCCATGTGAAAGGTCCTCTGAAAGTGCTTTGTCCGGTATACCCAAGATCCTAGAGGGCCTCAGAGTCTAGTCTGCCAGGGTCAGAAGGTTCGTTACCTTGTAAAGCCAAAGATGAAGTCCTGAGATCATCTAGAGAGGATGGAGCCCACCTAAGACCCAAGTGAAGGACAGGGGCAGTCGGAAATCCAAAGAGAGGTGTTCCAGAGGCCAGGGGAAAGGAGTAGTCAGCAGTCCAAGCTGCCACGGAGAGTGTCTGACCTGTGGGATCTAGGACTGCTGTACTCTGTAAGCAGGTAGCACAGGGTGGGGAGGACGTTGTGTCAGAGTCCAGAATGGAAGACAGTGTTGAGGAAGCCAAAACAACTTCTGGCTCCTTGCCAAAAAGTCCACCAAGGATCCATGTGGAGGACGTGGGGCAGCAGTTTAGAGGAGTTTGGTGTGAGGGCTGAGACAGCAGAGTCAAGGATGAGGGGGACGGCTGGGCACGGATGGAAAAGGTGACTGGGAGTAGGCATGGGGGCTAGTTTTGAACAGGTAACCCCTGAAAGGGAGGGACGGAGGTGGGTGCAGAGACAATAATACACAGGGTGGGGTGCTTGTGGTAGCTGTGGCTGATGGACTCACTGGAGCTGGAAGTGAAGTTCTCTGTCAGTCTTGAGGGCAGTGGGAGAATGAGTGGCAGTCAAGCAGCCAGAATTTCTTCTGACCCAGTTCTGTCCAGATGTTTAGATTTTCTCATTACATAGAGCTGATTAGCTGCTGCGTGTGGAAGTGGAGGAAGTGGATTGAGACTGTTTAACTGAGAGTCTGTTCATGAGGTCAAAGGTGGCATGAGAATGTGGCAGTCACCATGGCAAGTCCTCGTCCTTAGGGACCAGACCACCTTTTGGTAGGAGAAACAGATGCGTAAGTTAGCAAGTGCACTGTAGGTTAGAATGAGCACTGTGAGAAAGTACCTGGGCCAGGCCCCTGTAGTCAATCCTGTCTGTTCAGGGAACAGAATGGAGGTGTGAGTGGGGAGAGGGGAAAGACATTGTTTGAGGTGGTTTCTGGGGAACTGAGGTCTGGAGGTCATGTGAGCCACCTGGCAAGGGTCCAGTTTAGAATCTCACTTAGGACTGGGGCAGGTGTGTGGGCAGGTTGGCCCAGAGAAGTGATGTGGAGAAAGTGTGGCCATGTGAACCCTGCCTTTCCTAAAGCATGTTCCACTCAAACTTTGGGACCCCTCCACCCCATGCAGTGATCAATCCTCAGTTCACATCCTACCTGAGCCAGCAGCATCATTTAGTGCAGCTGGTCCCTCCACCCTGGAAACACTTTCTTCCCTGGCTTCCAAGACTCCACATTCTCCTCTCATCTTTCTGGTCATGTCTTGTTGTCCCAGCCTGTCCCTTTTGATGTGTCCCAGGGCCTTGGTCTTGACTTCTCTGCACTCACTTCAAGGTGTTCTCCTCTATATCTGATAGTCCTCATATTGTTGATCTGGTCCCTCAACTCCAGGCTACATCCTGCTGTCTGCTTTCCTTTCCACCAAAAAGTTTTTGTGTTGTTTTTTTTTTTGAGTTGGAGTCTCCCTCTTGCCGCCCAGGCTAGAGTGCAGTGGCTATGCTCATGGCCATCGCAGCCTCGACCTGCTGGGCTTAAGCGATCCTTCCGCCTCAGCCTTCCAAATAGCTAGAACTACAGACGACACCACTACGCCCGGCTAGTTTTTTTGTGATTTATTGTAGAGACGAGGTCTCACCAAGTTGCCCAGGCTGGTCTGAAACCCCTGGGCTCAGGCAAACCTCTCACTTCAGCCACTCAAAGTGCTGGGATCACAGGCTGAGCCACCGTGCCTGGCCCACTAAAAAGTTTACTAAGAGGTATCTTAAAGTCAGCATGTCCCAATCTGAGCAGTCAGCCTTTACCCAAACTCATTCTTACTTCGCCATGTCTTACTCAGTGGCAGTTTTATCCTTCAACTGTTCAGGTCCCAAACCTCAGAGTTGTCTCAACCTACCTCCTTGTCCCCTCCCCCTGCTTTTTCTCACATCCATATATATACATCAGTGAGTCCTCTCTGCTCTGTCTTTAAAGTCTGGTAACCCAGGCCATGAGCGTGCCACTGCACTCCAGCCTGGGCAACAGAGTGAGACTCTGACTCAAAAAATAAAAATAAAGTCTGTTAATCCCTGAGAAATTCCTTAAATAGCTCATAGTGTACCATGTACTTGGCTCTGTGCACAGAAGAGAAATTTGTTGCATATAGAAAACACGTGTCCAAAACATAATTCTCTAGTATGTTTAATTTTGTGTAAGAAACAGAATAATGACAGGCAGGCGTTTATGGTAAACTGGGTTTGAGCGGGCCACAGATGTGTCCTGCAGAGCCCAGATGCTCCAAGTTTCTGTGGAGTGCTCTTCTGGCTGAGGAATACCGCAGAAAAGGAACTGCAGGCCCCTTAGAAAAAATAATGTCCATTCTGCAGGGCTCACTGGGCAGTTGGGGGAGGAAGAGGGTCATTAGACTCCAGTGTCTATGCCTGTGCCTAGTGGGAAGGAGAGAAGTATCTGCTCGGAGGGCAGGGTGGGGCTTTGGAAAAGCCCAGGAAGGGTGATCCTCACTTACTCTGACCCAACCCTTGGAACCAGGTGAGGCTTCAAGCTCTGAGGAAGAGCCTCCATCCCCAGAGGACAAAGAGAACCAGGCCCCAAAACGGGCTGGCCCGCATCTACGCTTTGAGATCAGCAGCGAAGATGGGTTCAGCGTGGAGGCAGAGAGCTTGGAGGGTGAGTTGGGGGTGGCAGTGGCGGGGGGGCAGTGTCCCTAAAACACCCCATCCTGCCTCTGCTCTTGTCTGTCCCCTCTCCAGGGGCGTGGAGAACTCTGATCGAGAAGGTGCAAGAGGCCCGAGGGCATGCCCGACTCAGGCATCTCTCCTTTAGCGGTGAGTGGCGGCTCCACAGGGATGCTGGCGAGCTGGGAGGGCTCCCCGAGGGCCAGGGGCCCTCACCAACTGGGGTGTCCTCACCTTCTCTTCTCAGGAATGAGCGGGGCCAGGCTCCTGGGCATCCACCACGATGCTGTCATCTTCCTGGCAGAGCAGCTACCCGGGGCACAGCGCTGCCAGCACTATAAGTTTCGCTACCACCAGCAGGGAGAGGGCCAGGAGGAGCCGCCGCTGAATCCCCATGGGGCTGCCCGTGCTGAGGTCTATCTTCGGTGAGAAGTTGGGGGTGTGGTGCCTAGGTCAGGGGAGCCCCGTGGGAGCTCTGGAGGGTGGGAGTTAAATCTGTGCAGATGGGAGCCGAGTCCTGGGGAGCAGACATGGGTTGCTCCCAGAGTTATTTCTGGAGTTCGCGGCAGAGGAGTGAGCCCCACCTACTTCCCCTCTCGCCGCGTCTTCAATAGCGTGTCACTCCCACCCTGCGGGCGGCGGGCCCAGCCCCGAGAATGGGTAGGCCGCATCCCCTTGAAGGAATGGCTGTGAACCTCCCTCCCTTCCTCCCTTCCGCCTGCAGGAAGTGCACCTTTGACATGTTCAACTTCCTGGCCTCCCAGCACCGGGTGCTCCCTGAGGGGGCCGCCTGTGATGAGGAAGAGGATGAAGTCCAGCTCAGGTCCACCAGGTAGGACAGAGGCCCTGGTGGAAGGGGCCAGAGGGAAGAGGGCCTTCCTGGGTACCAGCCTGTGTGACCCGCTGTCCCTCACAGACGTGCCACTAGCCTTGAGCTGCCCATGGCCATGCGCTTTCGTCACCTCAAGAAGACGTCCAAAGAGGCCGTGGGGGTCTACAGGTTAGTGCGGTTGGGGGCGGCCCCTTGGGGGGGTGGCTGCTGGCTTCCGGCGCCCGGCCCCGAGCGCCCCTTGCTCATCCTGCCCTGCAGATCCGCCATCCATGGGCGAGGCCTGTTCTGTAAGCGCAACATTGATGCCGGCGAGATGGTCATCGAGTACTCTGGGATTGTCATTCGCTCTGTGCTGACTGACAAGCGGGAGAAGTTCTACGATGGGAAGGTGGGCTCTGTGAGGCCGCGGCAGTGAGGGGGGTGAAGCGGGGCGGCCCGTGGGGACGAGCGCCTGACTGCCGCCCCCGCAGGGCATCGGGTGCTACATGTTCCGCATGGACGACTTTGACGTGGTGGACGCCACGATGCACGGCAACGCTGCCCGCTTCATCAACCACTCCTGCGAGCCCAACTGCTTCTCGCGCGTCATCCACGTGGAGGGCCAGAAACACATCGTCATCTTCGCCCTGCGCCGCATCCTGCGTGGTGAGGAGCTCACCTACGACTACAAGTTCCCCATTGAGGATGCCAGCAACAAGCTGCCCTGCAACTGTGGCGCCAAGCGCTGTCGCCGGTTCCTCAACTGAGGCCGTGGCTGCTCACCACGACCCCTCACGCCTCCTGCTGCCATCTTGCCCCTCGCCCGGGGGCTCCCTGGTCCTTCCCAGAGCATCGCACGCCCGCCCTCACGTTCAGGGTGAATGTGGGCCTGCAGGCGGCAAGGGCCCTGCCTCCCCCCCTCCAGCCCACCCAGCAATCGCCCCCTTCCTGCCCTGGGGGCCCAGGATGTAGATAATGTACAAAGGTTTCTAAATCCCTTCTTTTCTATGCACTTTTTTATTTAAGAGGTGGGGTCCCAGGTGGGAACCCTCACAATAAAGTCTGTCAATGTTTGGAGAGGTGGTCTTCCCATTTGTAGAAGGCTGGGGGCAAGTAGGAACTCCCGCCTCACACCTCACACCCACCCTGAGCCTCAACAGGTAGGTAAGAGGCCGTCGTTCGGAATCAGAAGTACACTGTAAGGTCTGTTAAGGCTCAGAATGACAAGCGTTCTACATTCTCCAGCTCAGAACGCAGCAGAGTGCCTGTGAATAAGCTGTCTCAGGAGCGGCAGGGCTGTTTCTCACGGGATTCTGGGACCCAGGCATTTGGGTCAAAGGAAACTTGAGGACTAGGCCCAGCAAACCTCAGATCGGCCAAGCTTGGACAGCACCTGCAGTGCATCTGCCCGTCCTAGCTGGGCTAGGTGTGTGCCCAGCTGGCCCAGAGAGGCAGAGGGCTCCCTTGCCACCACCATCTCGATCAGAGCTCGCAGCGGTGAGCGACTTGGCCGCAGCGAGTAGGCAAAGGTCGCCCAGGCGGCCGGCAGCCCATACCTCGCTGCCAGGTGTCGAGTAGTGCCACAGGCTGTGCCCCCACCTGGCCCAGGCTCAGGGTCCAGCAGCACAATTAGCTCCTCCAACACCTCCAGCTCATCCAGGAGGCGAGACAGGGGCTGTGATGCCAGACTGGGCAGCTCTGGGAAGCGAAGAGGCATAAAGCTGAGGAAGGGTAGGCTTCGTGCAGCCCACCCTTCCTCCTGGGCGCCTCCTGGCTTAACCCTAACTCCTGCTTGGGAGCAGAAGGAGAGACCCATGCGTTACCTGTCTCCAATGCCTCCAGGGTGCCTGGGGAGGGCAAGTGCAAGAAGGTGGTGTGGGTGTTGGGGCCTCCCCGAGTCAAGCCGCGACAGGAGGGGGGCGTGGCCTTCCCCTTGGGCCCGCAGCGGTGCCTCCGCAGAGCCAGGAGGAGGACCACTATCACCGCTGAGGTTAGGAGCAGGATCACCAAGGGCAGGACAAAACCCAGCAATGCCTGCTGGGGGATACTGCACTCAGATGTCCACGGGAGACTGGAACTTGCTGGAGAGCTGGGCTTCTGGGAGCTAGGGCTGCTCCGTTTCTCAGGTGGGAGGGGGCAATACCCCTTAGTAGGAACTGGCCTCTGGGGATAAGGGGTTGGGGCGAAGTGGTGGGCCACACTCACTCCATTCCTGCCCTTCAGCCCAAACCTTCTATCCGCACATCCTTTAACAGGGCCACATTCTGTGCCTGATGCCCCAACCCCGACTAGCTTAACGCATGTCCTCCCTGACTTCTTTTTTCTTTTTTTGAGTCGGAGTCTCACTCTGTCGCCCAGACTGGAGTGCAGTGGCCGCTCCCGGCCACCTCAGCCTCGAC